ATTCCATTTATAGATTCTGGCTCTGGAGTGTAAGATTCTATTTTTTGAATTAAAATGTGATAAGAGACATTTCAGTTCCCAGAGTCTCTTCTCCGTCTGTAGGTCAGAAGTTATTGGCTGGAGTCCCAGCATCTCCCTTGAGCTATTGCTTCTGCTGACCAAACCTCCTTAGCCTTTAAACCAAATGATATCATAATCATCATGGTGCATTGTTCTAACAGTTGACGTTCATCTACGTATGCACAGGTATCTTTGAATTTCCCCCTGCTTATCAAAATCGCAAACAGGTGAGCAGTTTTAATCTGTATTGTGAGTGCTTCGAAGAGGGGTTCTGATGATGATACTAATGAAAACTGCACTGGCATTTGTTGAACTGACTACTGGTAACTACATGGTTGTTGCATATTAGATAATGTGATATATAATCAATGACAGAACAATGCCTCCTAGAGACACTGTACTTCTCTAACAGAAAAAAAAAAAAAAAAAAAAAAAACTATGACCATAAATTCTATTCATTAAGCACCCACCAAACTCCAGGTGGTCTCACACCAAACGCAGGGTTCTTACACACATTAGCTTCTTTATTTCCCATTGGAGTCGTAGGAAGTAAGGAATGTTATTTCCGTTCGACTGATGAAATGACTGAATCTCAGAGAAACGAAGAGCATTGCTCAAGGATCTAGGTGTGAGTGGCGAGGGAGGACTTAAACCTGGGTCGAGCCTGCGTGTTTTCTGTTCTCCCACTTGGGTTAGGCAGTTCTAAGAAAACCGTATTTCTCTTGCTCATTTCTTTTGCTTATGACACAGGATATTGTGGTATTGCTCATGTACTAAAAACCATGCTCAGAGTTCTTGTGGTTTTGAGTTGAAAAAAAAAAAAAAACAAACAAGATCAGATGTGAAGATTGACTTCGACTTTAGTACAGTGTAACCTCAAAAGAAAAAAAAAAAAAACCTTAATCTTTCAAGTTCCAATTTCCACAACATGCATAGTCACACAGCTTCTGAAATGACTAGGGAGAATGAGTCTGGTTGATTACCTCCAGAGCAGTAAGTCATGTCCCCAGTTACAAGACTGGAGGGATGGTGAGATAGGACGTCACAGCCCTTGACAATCTTTGCTTATATTTGAGTGCCTTCAATGTGAATTCGGGGCACATTTACAGCACCTCTGTTTGGTTTTTCTTTCATGTAGTTTTTAACACAGTGGCAAATTGGAAGTGACTGCCAGCCGGCTGAAACCTACAGCTAATCGGAAAGGTCAAACAGCCTCCTTTGTTCAACATACGCCATCCCTCCCCATTCCTTCGCAGCCTGTGCAGTGTGACCCAGCGAGGAACATGTCTGCTCTTGTCCCCCGTGTGTTGCGTTGACGCCGAGGTGCTGAGATGCCCCCGGGCTCATCGAAGGCCGGCCTGTCTCATGTTTCATCATTGGCCCAATAGGCACAGAGCTTGTGGTTTACCGTCTATCTCTGCGAGCACTCAAGGCCAAGGCAGACTGCCCAAGACTGAGAACAAAAGAACACCCAGTTGCCCAACACTTTAAGACACTCTAGCCAGCCTCCTCCTCCCCAGGTAGTGCGCATGTGTCTCCCCACCCAACACATGCAAACTCTTCCTCCCCCTTCTCCCTTCACATCTGTACCCCCTCAGCCCCACCTTTTCCATAGTCATTCAGAAATTTTAAACCTAAACTATAGCAAGCGATTTCTTCCTTGATGAATCGCCCCTTCTTCACTCCACCCTATAACCTGGCTCTGAGGTAATTTCCTAATTCTTTTGGACAAGACAGTTTACTCTTGATGAGGATTAAAGGTTATTTTTAAACCTGAACCACACACGAGGAAATGATGCAATAATTTCTTTGAGCTGGCTGAGTCGTTCCTCTTTTTCTTTTTGGTCCGTGAATCAAGATGATTCTGAACTTGAAGTTGTTTCTGGCCTTTGTGAGTAATTTCATAATCGCAGAATAAAGTCCACCACTCCCAATTTAAAGGGCTTGCGAGCAGCGATGGTTTCCTAAATGACTGGCATTTTTGTCAGATGTAGACCCCGGGGTTAAAACTCAGAGTGATTTTATTTTATTTTTTAATTGTTTTTAATGTTTATTTATTTGTTTATGAGAGATAGGTAGAGAGCGAGCAGGGGAGAGGCAGAGAGAGAGAGAGAGAGAGGGAGGGAGACAGGATCCCAAGCAGGTTCCGTGCCATCAGCACAGAGCCCCATGAGGGACTTGAACCCACGAACCGTGAGATCACGACCTGAGCCGAAATCAAGAGTTAGATGCTTAACCAACTGAGCCACCCAGGCTCCCAAAACTCAGAGTGCTTTTAGGCCAGCATACACAGGCGCCCTCCCGGTCCCTTTCACAAAGCCTGCTCCAATTTGAAAGAAAGGTGGTTAACTCTGCCACCTAGGGCTATTCTGATAGGCATCGAGTTGTCTGCCGTCCCTCCAATCTCTTGTCTAGACCTTCTAGATAGAAGGTAGACATTTCTCAATCTATCACTATTTTTAAACTGTTTGTGCATTCAAGGCCGTATGTTTATATCAGGGTTTCTCAACCTCAGGACTGTTGAAATGTGGGGTCAGGTCATTCTTTGTTGTGGAGCTGCTTATGCACATGATAGGACTCTTAGCATCCCTGGGCTCCCTCTACCTGCTAGATGCTGGCGGCACCCTCTCCAAAGTCACAACCACCGAAAATATCTCCAGACATTGCCAAGTGTCCTCCAGGGAAGCAAAATTGGTTGAGAAACACTGGCCTTTCTGTTGGTTTCAATTACAAGTTCCTTTTGGACCGGAACTCACCGAACTTGTACAGACTTCACAACAGGAAGGTGTGGAGAGAAAGCTGTTGAATGATGATCACAGTCACCAAAAATGTATCGAGGATTTTTGGCTCCCGTTTAAAGAGGACTGACAATTTCAACAGATGATCAAGTAAACAGTAGATAATTTGTCTTATTCAGCCTTCTGTTCTAATCAATAGGATTAAAATGGCAACACTTGGCTCTCTTTTTATGAACCACCAGGAGGAATTAAAAATCTTTAAGAAAGAGCTCATCTCCTCGTAATTAAACTGCTCCCACAAAACAAGGTAGGAGGCAGGTAGAGTGAAACCACGCACAGCAGTGTGAGCGAGCGAATGGCAAGCCTCAGAAAAATGAGTCTGCGCCTGGATAAACATTCCTTTGCAATTACTGTTCTGCGAGGCAGGGACTGAGGGCGGCACCCCATCCCCTCGTGAGAGCTGGCCCTCATAGACTACATCCAGTATCTTTCATGGCTGGAAAGCAAAAGATAGATATGAACTCCTATGTCATTATAACTGCTGTGTTTTTCATCCATTCAAGTGGCATTAAACTGCCGGGTTTGGAAAAGACAAGTTTCTAAACGGTCTCTTTCTAGCCCTCTCTCGGGGCAAAAGAACAAAACCTTTTATCAGTTAATCTGATGGATGACATGGGGTTATTTTTATTCTATTCACAAGAGACAAGGCATGTAGGTCCCCCCTGTTCTTACATGCATTGGTTAATAATTCCATTAAACAAATATTTATGGAAATCATGGGCAAAGCAGTTTGATAGCCACCAGTTACGACAGTGGAAATGAAGATCTGCCCTCTGAGTTTACATTCTGTTTCTCTAACAATTGGCTGTATATTTTTATTATATTCCCGTACATACTTGGCATTATATACTTTAAGGGCCGATCCAGCGGATTCAAACGTCTGAGTGCCCATAGATGATGGGTCATCCAAAAGGAGTTTATGGACACATGGCTTTTGACATAAGGGTGGGTCTTCAAAACAATATTAATGGTGAGAGGGTTTTTTTTTTCCTGATTATAAAATTAATACATGTTGCTGTTTTTAAAATAAAATCCAGAAAACAAAGAAAAGTTCAAGGGGAAGATGGTCTCCCATAAGCAGTGGAAGGTCATAGCAAAGGCATAGGACCCAGCATGCTGGGGACAGCAAAACCTGTGTGGGATCCTAAGGAGCCACCCAGGATCATGGGGTGGGGGCCTGAATGCCAGACCTAATTAAGAAGACAATAGGGAGCCACTGATGGTTGTATGTTCTGGGCATCCTCGTGACAGAGTCAAGGTGCCCGTGAGGTCCTAGTGGTTCTGCTCAATTGTCACATGTGGAGCCAGAGGATATAAGGTATGCATTAACCTGTCCAAGGTCATGTAGCCAGTAGACGGGAGGACGGGCAGTCCCAAACCCCATGTCCCTCACACAAAGTAGGAATTGAGTGCAACAAGACAAGGGCTGTGATTTAAAGCATCATGTGTCTAGCTGGGGCAGATACACCTTTGACCCAGGGGAATGTATCAAAAGATTCCGTAGGCACAGAAAAAGGATCTTACTTACTTTGTAGATAAAAGACCAGCTGACAGCCCAGAGACATCTACGCAGAGCAGGTACCCTTGGGTGGAGGGCACCTTCCCTGACTGTCGGGTACCCAGAATGATATACCACTGCCAAGTTACCACCTGAATGAAGTCAGGGGCTTTGGAGCTTTGAGCGGCTTCCCTTTGGCGCTTTTCACGGGGAGTTCATGCCACTGACCCATAGCAATCGTTCTGGACTATCGATCTGGTTAAGAGCCAGCCTGCTCACCAGGTATGATGGCTGGAGCCCCCAATACATTCCCGAGACACTCCGGGATGCATTCCCAGCTTTACCATGCCCCTGGTAGATCCAGAAGTCATGCCAAGACAGGACAACATTTCAAAGGGAGATTCATGAATGTGAACAGGGGTTAACAATGTCAGATGCTACAGAAAAGGGCATAGTGCACAAGGCAACTGGTTTTGACTCTTCCGGAAATCTTTGAGGAAGCACTTCTGAATGGTAGTGGGGGGAAAAGCTGGGTTGTTTGGGGTTACAGAGGGGAAGAATCATGACTAGATAAATACATTGGGTATGATCTGCTCCTTCTAGAAGTATGTCGGTGAATAGGAGAAGAAAAATGAGCCATGGTAGTGGATCAAGAGGATTTATTCAGGACCAGGTGGGAGTCGAACTCTTTTCCTTCAACAGCGTCCAACGAACGCTTTCTCTGTGCCTCACAGATGCCAGGCGATATCCAAGGTCTGGAGAGACAGCCACGAATACTGACAAAATTCCTGTCCCCGTGGGGCTTATATTTGGGGAAAGGGGGAGGAGGGCAGGGCACAAACACCAAAAAGTGAAAATAAACACACAGATATAAATAAGGTAATTCCATAAAAGGATGTGGAATGTCAGCGATATATTAATGAAAAAAAAAAAAAAAGAGATTGGGATGATAAGACCAAGACTGGCTGAGTTTGGGGAACGGGGTGGCCAGACAAGGACCCCCTAAGGAGGTAACACTTGAGTGGAAGCTTCAGGAGTGAGAAAGAACCGCCGTGGAATTTCTGACAGAGGGACAGCAAGTTCAGGGTCCCTGTGGCAGGCACCAGCTCAAGGGACAAAGGGGCCAGTGTGGTAAAGCACAGAGAGCCAGGGAGATAGAAGGAAAGGGGAGGCAGCCAACAGATTACCACACGCCTGCGACCACAGAAGCAAGTTTGGGTTGAGTTCTAATTGCGATGTGAAACCACTGGGGGTGTTGAAGCAGGAAAAGCTAAGTGATCTTTTTTTCTAATTATTATTTTAAGATCATATGTATCTTTTTAAAAGCCACTCTTGGCTACAGAGCAGAGAGTAAACTCTAGGGCCAGGAGTGGAAGTTGCCGGCGTCTGTTGCGGGGGGGTCTAGTGGGAGACCAATGGTGGCTTGGACCAAAGTAGCAGCAGGGAAAAGGTGAGCGTGTTGCAAACACAGAGCCCACAGCACTTGCTGATGGACTGCATCTGGGGAGGGGTGGAAAGGGGCAAACTCAGGGAGAGCCCTTGGGTCTCCACCTAAGTACCTACGTGAATGGCAGTGCTATTTCCTGAGCTGGGAAGACTAGAGGAGGAATCTGGAGGGAGTAGAGACTAACAGTCTCAGTGCTGGATAAGTCAAGTCAACTGTAAGACGTCTGAATCCCAGAAGAGATCTGAAGGAGAAAGTTGGGAGAAATCAGGCCAAGGGTACAGATTTTGGAGTCATCAGTCTATGAGTGTTAAAAAAAAAAAAAAGCAAGCAGTTGGATTAAACCTAGAATTACCACAGGATCCAGCCATCCCACTCCCAGGTATAGACCCCAGAGAATTGGAAGCAAAACTCGTACACAAATATTCACAGCGAGACTACTGAAAACAGCCAAATGGTGGAAACAACCCAAATGGCCACCAACAGCTGGATGGATAAATGAAATGTGGAATAACCACACGACGGAATACTATTCAGCCGCGGAAAGGAAGGAAGCCTTAATACGTGCTACACAGTGGATCGTGAACCTTGAAAACATTACGCTAGGCGAATGGTTCCATTTATACAAGAACATCCACGATAAGCAAATCCAGAGACAGAAGGCAGACGAGCAGTTGCCAGGGGTTAAGAAAGGAGCAAATGGGCAGTGGCCACTGAATGGGTACAGAGTTTTCTCTTGGGGTGATGGAGGATGTTTTGGGACCAGACAGAGGTGGCAGTTGCACCATAATGTGAATGTAGTAAATGCCACTAAACTGCACGCTTTAAAAGAGTGGAATTTATGTTCGTGGGTATTTTACCACGTCAAAACATACATACATACATACATACATAACAAACATAGGCAAGGGGATTGGACGAGGTGACCTCCGGATCAGGCAGAGACGGACAAGACAGCCCTGGACTGAGCCCCAAGCATGTGAGAATTTAAGAGGTCAGCCGGAAGAGGGATAGTCAGCAAAGAAGGTTCAAAGGCACAAACTGTGACACCGGGGGAAAACCAGAGACGCTGCTGTCCTAGAACCCAAAGGGAAATCGGTTGCAAGGAGAGTCAAGTGACCATCTGTGTCAAAGAGTGACTTCGTGTGCGGTTCGGGGGGGACACTGCCACATTCGCCTGCTCCGTGGCGGAAACATTTTGCACTCTGATCAGCACTGCGTCAGAGTGCTCCCGTCCGCCCTGCAATGGAGCACTGTTGCCAGACCAGCGTAACGTCCTCCCTAAGGCGGAAATAGATCCCAGGGTAGATTTCACCTGCAACTCCTCTGAGAGTGAGGCTGAACATCATTACAGACATTCAGGGGCCATCCGTCTCTCCTCCATCGAGGGCTATCTGAGCCCGGTCTTCTTCCATTTTCTGTTGAGCTGAGAATCTTCTCACTCTTGATTTCTAGGAGCTCTTGAAGTATCAGGGAGCTGGTCTTTTGTATCACCCCCTCTCTTGAAGCTCTTCTTTCTTCACTACCTCAAAAGTATTCTCTTCTAGGTGTTCTTTCGTCTCCAGGGTCTCATGTGAGCCTTTGGGATGCTTTCCCCTGGGTACGTGGGGTTCTCCCTGACTCGGCATTTCACATGTTAGCGCCCCCGACCCTTCGTCTCCAGCAACCTCACTTCACTACATGCCCTTCTCGGGCATCCCTCCCCTTCCATCACTGCCTCCGCCATGATTCTGATCACAACTGTGTGCTGAACTCTCCCTAAACGATGTGCAGCAGGATATTAACAAAGGACTTCTCGATGCTCAGGGCAGGCTGAGACCCCACAGCAGAAAACAAGGTGTGTTAGGTACCCAAGCATTCGAAAGAGAGGGGCTAGACCATCCACGCAGACCTTACAGAGGATGACCCAAAACACCACACAGGGGCCTGGCCTCATCATGAGGGTCTTTACCAGAGCCTTGAGCATGGCTCCTTAGTTCTTTGCAGAAGCATGGCTCTTTCCCACTGCCCTCAAACCAAGCAGAAGGCTTTAAGAGAATCTTCTGGAGAGCCTGGCTGGTGTCTTATGGAATTGAGGGGATGCAGGATTAGCTGACTTGTGTTGGAAAAGCTCTAAAGGTGACAGGCTGGCTTGCTGCCATGGCCCCAAGTGGGGAGAGGAGCCCTTTTGTCAATGCTGTTCCCGGTGGTGGCACTCCCCAGTTAATGGTCATTTTCTCCCTGTTGGTCACGGAAATTGGAACAAAATTTTGAAAGTGTTGGAAGGGCATAATTGTTGCTTCTGCACAGTGAAGGAAACAATCAACAAAACTAAAAGGCAGCCTATGGAATAGGAGAAGATATTTACAAATGACATATCTGATAAAGGGTCAGTATCCAAAATCTATAAAGAACAGGGGCACCTGGGTGGCTCCATTGGTTAAGCATCTGACTTCAGCTCAGGTCATGATCTCATGGGTCGTGAGTTCAAGCCCCATGTGAGGCTCTGGGCTGACAGCTTAGAGCCTGGAGCCTGTTTTGGATTCTGTGTCTCTCTCTCTCTGCCCCTCCCCTGCTTGTTCTCAATCTCTCTCTCTCTCTCTCTCTCTCAAAGATAACCATTAAAAATATTAAAAAAAAAAAAAGAACTTATCAAACTCAACACCCCAAAAACAAATAATCCAGTTTAAAAATGGGCAGAAGACATAATTCGACATTTTTCCAAAGAAGACATCCAGATGGCCAACAGACACATGAAAAGATGTTCAATATCACTCATCATCAGGGAAATACAAATCAAAGCCACAATGAGATACCACCTCACACCTGTCAGAATGACTAAAATTAACAACACAGGAAACAACAGATGTCGGCAAGGATGTGAAGAAAGGGGAACCCTCTTGCACTGTTGGTGGGAATTAAAACCGATGCAGCCCAGCCACTCTGGAAAACAAAAAGTTAAAAACAGAACTACTCTATGACCCAGCAATTGCACTACTAGGAATTTACCCAAAAGATGCAAAAATACAGATTAGAAGGAGCACATGCACCCCAGTGTTTCTAGCAGCATTTTCAATAATGGCCAGACTATGGAGAGAGCCCAAATGTCCATCAACTGTTGAATGGATAAAGAAGATGTGAGATATATATACACACACATACATACATACAATGGAATATTACTCAGCCATGAAAAAGAACGAAATCTTGCCATTTGTAACAACATGGATGGAACTAGAGCATATTATGCTAAGTGAAATAAGTCAGAGAAACACATATACCATATAATTTCACTCATATGTGGAATTTAAGAAAAAAATAGATAAACATATGGAAAGGGAAAAAAAGAGAGGGAAGCAAAACACAAGAGACTCTTCATGATATGGAAAAACTAACAAACTGAGGACTGATGGAGGGGAGGTGGGCGGAGGATGGGCTAAATGGGGGATGGGCATTACGGAGGGTCCTTGTCATGATGAGCACTGGGTGTTGTATGTAAATGATGAATTACTAAAGTCTATTCCCAAAACCAATATTACACTGTTAACTAACTAGAATTTAAACAAAAATTTGAAGAAAAACCCCACAAATTTAATACAATTTAATTTTTAAAAATAGAAGGGCATAATTATTGACTCTCCAGGAAGCTGAGAGGCAGACCTAACATGGTAACAGCAGAAGAGAGGAAATGCCAAACAGGCAGAATTTGGAAACTCATGGAGAACCGGCCCTGTGCATTCATGGAAAACGTCCTTATAAATAAAGTTTTTACAAAAGCTAAACACAGAAAAAATTCACACGATGTTGTTGCATAGTATTCACTTAAGATTTTCTTAAATCACTTGAATTTGGATCTTAGTTTCAGAAAATGAAGCTGCTTCAAGAAAAAAAATAAAAAATAATTTTTTCAGGAAAAAATAAAAATGAGGCATTATTTTAGAGGGGTCAAGAGCTCTGGCTGGGGCGTCACACAGACCTGGGTTGGAAGTCCTGCTCCCTCATTTATTAGTTGTGAAACTTGGAGCAAATCGCTCAACTTCTCTGAGCCTCAATTTCCTCCTGTACAAAGCAAACATGATACCCGACAAGGCTGTTACTAGAAGTAAATGGGATATTGCAAATGACACCCTTAGCACGGTGTCTGGTGTTCAGTCACTGGTTCTGACCAATCACGAGTGACACCCATCACTCGTCATCAGGGAGATGCAAATCAGAACCACACTGAGATATCACCTCACACCTGCTAGGATGGCTCTTATGAAAAAGACAAAGGATAACAAATGTTGGTGAGGGTGTAGAGGAAAGGGAATGCTCGTGCACCGTTGGTGGGAATGTAAATTGGCAAAGCCATAATGGAAAAAAGTATGGAGGTTCCTCACAAAACTGAAACCAGAACTACCATAAACATTCAGCAATCCCACTTGTGGGAAAATCAGGACCTCAAAGAGATATCTGCACTCTCGTGTTCATTGCAACTTTTCACAACAGCCAAGATGTAGAAACAACTCAAATGTCCTTTGACAGACGAAGAGATAAAGCAAATGAGGTGTACAGATACAACGGAACAGTATCTAGCTGCGACAAAAGAAGGAAATTCTGCCATTTGTGACAACATGGATAAATCTGGAAGGCACTATTCTCTGAAATAAACTCGACAGAGAAAGACAAATACTATAGAATCTAAAACAAAACAAAACGATAACAAAGTTTCATGGAAACAGAGAATAGGAGCATTCTGACCACAAAATAGAAAAGAGTTAATTAACTATGGTAACTATATGAAGTGATAGACGGGTTGACCTCGGTGATCATTCTATAATGTATATGTATATCAAATCATCACATTGTATACTTCGAATGTATGTACTATTGTATTTGTTCGTTATTCCTCAATGAAGTTAGAAGGAGAGAAAGGAAAAGATGGGAGGGAGGGATGAAAGAAGGGAGGGAGGGAGGGAGGGAGGAAGGAAGGAAGGAAGGAAGGAAGGAAGGAAGGAAGGAAGGAAGGAAAGGAAAGGAAACTCTCTAAAGATAACTTCTTGAAGACAGGGTCCAAGTCTTCCATACAGACTTCCTATCCTACATCCCATGGCAAGTGGATTTTTACAGCTGTATATTACCATTAATACGGTGACAATAACAATACTTCAATTAACAAGAGTATAAAGATTCCAGGGGCGCCTGGGTGGCTTAGTCGGTTAAGGGTCTGACTTCGGCTCAGGTCATGATCTCGCAGTCCGTGGGTTCAAACCCTGCATCGGGCTCTGGGCTGCCAGCTCAGAGCCTGGAGCCTGCTTCGGATTCTGTGTCACCCTCTCTCTCTGCCCCACCCCCACTCATACTCTGTCTCTCTCCTTCTCTCAAAAATGAATAAACGTTAAAAACTTTTTAAAAATTCATAAAGATTCTTGGTCACTCAGGAGTGATGGCAGACATTTTACATGGCCACAGACAATGTTTTTAGTAAAGATAAAAAGAAATAGGAACAAAAAAGAAAAAGAATAAAAGAGAATGTGACATAGATCTAGGTTTCTGTTACATGGCCCTGGAAAGAATGCACATGCCCTATCATTGTATTCTACATCTTTAATTTTGGTTGGTTTGGTGCTTTCTGACGGATGCTGTTAACTTTATGGAGTTTCCAAAGAAAGTTCTCTGTAATGTGCTCTGAAGGAAACTGAGAAGAAAATAAAGCACACTGCAGTAACACAGCCTGGGAGTGCGGAAAGACTATTTGTTCATCATACATTAAGTTAAAAATATAGTTGCACAAGCAGATGACTAAATAATACTTAGATGCACAGATTTGAGCTTTTCTTTAAGTACAAGCTTATGTAAGATTGTTCCACCGAACTAATCTCGTCATTAACAACGCTTCAATGTGACATTTTTAAACATACTGTTTCATATACATCTAAATTCATGCTGTTTACACAGCACGCACGTAGCAAATTTATCTGCAAGGAGGACTTGGCATCCCTGCAACACAGAATGTCATACTATGTTAGAGAGATCCTCGGCTTTCACACTGTGTTAGAGAGATCCTTGGATTTTATACTAAGAGAGATCCTCAGATGTTTACACTTAGGCATCCGGTTCCATATTCGGCCCCTGTAGCAGAGGCATCCAGGACCGCTGAGAGCCATTCTTTAATATCAAACGGCAACACAAATGATCAGATTGGGTTCTTGGAACTTAATCAGGTGGAGTTTTTTGGTGTTTGGATTGGGGGCATAAAAGTCATGTTCATTCGGTCTGTGGCCATGCGCAGGTTAAAACATTACCAGCTGTGTCCACAGAGGACAGTTAGATGTACCACTTAGGGATGGATAAAATTAAGATGCTCGTGAGCCTCAGATTTCATCATAAATCTCAATCAATATACTGAAGGGAGTTATTTCTTAGTCGGACTCCTGCTTGCCGATATTTTAGGATCTGAATCACCTCCATCAAAATCATGACTTCGAGGTCAGAAAAATCCTGTTTTTCAGTGGATTCCATAGGAGAGAGAACCTGGGTTTATCTTGCCTCAAAGGCCAGTTTTGTTCTTCAGCTATAAAGGTTTGTTGTATCTCTCCAACCCAGTCAATCACTATTATGCTAGTTCTGGTTCAGAAAAAAAAATTAATAATAATAATAACACCCATGTTGCAGCTGGCAAGCCCAACTGTGGGTCCACACAATGTCAGAGCAACCTGCTGAAAAGTAGTCTGTACGATCAACCAGTTGAATCAGCTGCTTTTTCTCCTCGAGCGGGAATTATTAACGTGAACCTGAATTTTTCCATGTCACTTGCAAGACAACAGTCGGGTTTCTTGGTTTGTAATGACAGCTATAAAAGGACAGCCCATTTAACCCTACTGTAAGCACACACTGACAGGGATGTGGCTTACACACGCCCCCTCCCCTTCTGAATGAAGACCCAGGCTACTTACTCAGCATACATGACATCTTGATCTGACCACAGTCAGCCTGTGGCATTCGTGACTTTGTGCCCGGCTGTAATCCTACAGCAAAGGTGACTGTTCTCACCAGGGTCTGTGTGTCACTTATCTGGGGGGCCATCTTTAGTGTGAAACATGAGAAGCCATTCTGCTTGCCCTCAGTCCTAGAAAACATAATATGAATTCCGGGACATAAGGTGTCAAACTTTCTTACGCATGAGTAACGTCTTGTTATGGGTTGAATGCGTCCCTCCCCGCCCCCAGAAAAAAACACGTGTTGGAGTCTCGGGACTCCCTTAGTCTCTCAGAATGTGACCTTATTTGGATCTTCAAACGTGATCTTTACAGAGGTAATGAAGACAAAATAAGGCCATTAAGATGGGTCTAATTCAATATGACCGGTGTCCTTATCAAAAGCAGAAATTTGGACACAGACCAGCACAGAAGGAAGACGGCCAGCCATAAGCCAAGGGGAGAGGCCCCGGATAGACCCTTTTCTCACAGCCCTCAGAACAAACCAACTGGCACCTTGATTTTGGACTTCTAACCGTCTAATTCGCACCTCACCGATCCAGCATCGTTGGAGAACGAAACAATCCATATAAATTCATTTTCTAAATAATGAAAGTGTTCCGGAAAAGAAGTTCCAAAATTTTCATAGTACTATTTCTTAATAAAGATATTTCTAAGATGCACACTGCATTTCTTTTTTTTTTTTTTTTAAGTTTACTTATTTATTTTGAGAGTGAAAGAGAGAGAGAGCAGGAGAAGAGCAGAGAGAGAGGGTGAGAGAAAATCCCAAGCAGGCTCCGTGATGTCAGCACAGAGCCCAGTGCAGGTCTCAAACTCACAAACTGTGAGATCATGACCTGAGCTGAAACCAAGAGTCGGACTCCTAACCGACTGAGCCAGCCAGGCACCGCACACACTGTGTTTCTTAAGCCGAGGACGGTTTAAGAGACACAATCTAAACCTTCTAAATGATGTGGGATCATCAGGTGACTGTGGGGTACAGAACACTGTCTCTGCAGTAAATGGCATCACTCGCGTCCCTGTTTTCTCACAGAAAGTTCCCAGATGTCCTCTCTGCCCGCCCCCTGCACCTTTCTTACTCCTTCGCTCCGGTTTGTTTCTCCCAGTCTGTTACGAAAGAACAGAATCCGGAAAAACAAGGCATTGAAACTGTGTCTGAAATAAAATTAAGAGTTCCGAGTTAGGATCTGAAAGACTCTCCTAGGGGCTGAACCTCAGAGACTTGGGAAAACTTCTTTTGTTGCTGACTTCTCTACCAGCAAGGGATGATATAGTGAGACCCCTTATACTCGGGATAACTGCAGGGCTCGGCTGCATGGACACAAAGCAGGTCACCAGAGAATTTTCCAGCCTCCTTGAGGTCTTAGGAATTTACACCATGAAAAGCAGCAGCTTGGATCAATACTCTCCAGGGAAATAGACTTCTCTCGCAAGAGCCCAGTGGGGCTTTCTTTTGTCATTGTTGGTTTCATATACTTGGAATATGGCTATACCATAGGATGGAACTCTCTCTGGAATGACCTTTCCATGATGCAAAATTAGTTTAGGAAATGCTAATTCCCCAAGCGGAACGATAATCAGATTAAATGACCACAAAGGAATCAACTTGCCTTTGAAACCAAAAGAGTACTTACCAAATTAGATACTTTACTACATCCTCTCGCTTTTAAAAAAGAACACATTGATTCAATTATCCAATTTCCACTCGTTGGAAGCTGCCTTCTTTGCCACCCTTGGTTTTGCATAAAACGAAGAGTTTTCTGCTTTATGTCGTGGCCTATAGCGGTGCTGCTGGAGCTGGTGTTAAAAACAAAACGTGGGGAAGAAAAGAAAAAAAGCACCGATGTTTATTAAGTATTTACGAGAAGCCAAGCACTAGGACAGATGCCTTTATGCCCTATCTTACTGACTCCTTCCAGACAGCACCCGAGTAGGGGGGACATTGTTATTTCCATTAAACGGACGACGAAACGGAGGCCGAAGGTGTTCAAACAACTTGTTCCGAGTCATCCAGCTGCTAAGTGGCAGAACCTGGGTTTTCACCCAGGGCAGTCTGATTCCAGAGCCCGCATTCTTTTTTTTTTCCAACGTTTTTATTTATTTTTGGGACAGAGAGAGACAGAGCATGAACAGGGGAGGGGCAGAGAGAGGGAGACACAGAATCGGAAACAGGCTCTAGGCTCTGAGCCGTCAGCCCAGAGCCCGACGCGGGGCTCGAACTCACGGACCGCAAGATCGTGACCTGAGTTGAAGTCGGACGCTTAACCGACTGCACCACCCAGGCGCCCCTGAGCCCACATTCTTAATCATTAGGGTATAGAGAGAGGTAACTGTCGAAACTAATCACCAAAATTTGGGGCACCTGGGTGGGTCAGTCAGTTTAGCATCCAACTCCTGGTTTCCGCTCAGGTCAAGATCTCCCAGTTCATGGGCTGGAGCCTCCTGTTGGGTTCTTGTGCTGACAGCACGGGGCCTGCTTGGGATTCTCTCTCCCGCTCTCTCTGCCCCTCCCCCACTCGTGTGCACAAGCGTGCTCTCTCTCTCTCTCTCTCTCAAAAATAAACATTTGAAAAAAAGAATCACTAAAATTAGCATAATCTTGCTTAAATGCCATAATTTGAAATTATGTAATAAAAAAGCATTCTGAAACAAAACTGCATAGGCCAGGGATATTTTCAGACTGTCCCATCCAGCCCGGCTACGCTATAAAATACCGAGCATGATTTTTTTTTCAACGTTTATTTATTTTTTGGGACAGAGAGAGACAGAGCATGAATGGGGGAGGGGCAGAGAGAGAGGGAGACACAGAATCGGAAACAGGCTCCAGGCTCTGAGCCATCAGCCCAGAGCCTGACGCGGGCTTGAACTCACGGACCACGAGATCATGACCTGGCTGAAGTCGGACGCTTAACCGACTGCGCCACCCAGGCGCCCCATGATTTTTTTTTGCAAGGTTAACTGTGGCCTTTTAACTTACTTAATAAATTACTTTCATTCTAAGTCACTTCCCAGATGAGGATTTATGAAAACTATACATAGGAGGATATATGCATGGGAATTTTATAAGCCAAGACAATATTGTGATCCACAAGATAGCTACGAAAAGGCACACAATAAATTAGTAATGGGGTGGGGGGAAGGGCGATGTGAAAAATGCTGCCACAGAGTAGTCAGCAGCAGGAGAGAGAAAAACCAGGGAGCGTGATGGAGATGATGACAAGTCAGAGTAAAATCGTCACTTCAGACATTTGCAGGATAAGTAAAGAGATATTTTCAAAACTATGCCAATACCATTTTAGTGCCTTCTCCAGGCATTTCAGAGACCCTCACAGCTCCACCTGGTTTGGAAAAGGATGCAGAATGGCCAAGCACATTCAGCTTTGTTTTTCATTTTCTGTTCCCAACTCCCAAGCAGCTTTATCTAGACTCTTAAATAAAATCCCCAAGGTTGTCACAACTTTTTGAGTCTTTCATTCTCAGCAAGAGTCTTCCGTGAAATCTTTTTCCAGTTACAGATTTAAAAACAAACAAAACAATAAAGCCAAATTGCTTAATTGCTTGGCTTTTCTTTGGTGTTCTTTTGTCTTCAGAGTTAGCATTCATGTGGCAGTTTTGGAAATTCACACTGAAATGTACTCACAATGAGAATTTCATTTGTGTGGCTAAATATGATTATTCTTCCAGACCTATTATACTTAAACCACTTGAACAATACAAATAAACATTGCATGATAGAATCTCTTCACTTGTTCAGGGCTTTGTATTCCAAAAATTACTCCATGACCTGCTCCAGGCCCCAAATATATCATGCAATTGAATTACGCTGACAAGTAGCCAGAGGTGAGCCAAAATCTGTTAAGGATGCAGGTTCTGGTAATTAAAGATTAGCTCAGGAGGCAGGAAAGTCAAGAACTCCCTTTCCCTTTCCTTGAAATCTTAAGCACGTCTCCCTCTTATGCTTCAGTTTCTCCAGATTAAAATGGGGAGAAAGGAAATCCAATAATTTCTCCGCCAGTGTAAAAAGTAATTTCTATTTAGAAGGGGTTTACAAAGAAAGGCACTGCCCCCACAACATTTAATTAGGGGATAATGCTCTAGAAACAGAAATCTACCATAGGATGAAAGTCTCTAATAGGTTTTATTCAAGGGACTGCAAAGCTGAGGCATTGTGGAAAACAAATGGCAAATCTAAGGTTGATGTGTATTTTCAAAGCACGAAGTCTGACCACACTGGTAATCAAAATCCAAGTAGCAGCAACACGGTCTCACGAGTGTCTTCAGACTCGCCCCTTCCAAGGCATAGGACCTGACACGCCTCTATATAGTGAGTGGTTCTGGATGGGCTTTTATATAGTACATGCATAATGAGTAAGTTAACTAGAAAAATAGCTATACAATGCAAAGAAGTGAAAACACGTATGAAAGAAAATACCTGTTTGGTCTACTCAAAGTACTGAATGGAGAGAAAGAAATGTAAATGATTTGGTCTACCATCCAGAGGCTGAGCAGACAACCAGCTTCTTCCACTGGTTCCCATTGGCAATCCCGTTCGGTTGGGTGACCCAGATGCCATGTTCCATGGGTGAAAGGAAAAGACAACGTCTTCTTTTATTTGGGAGAATCTACTAGACACAAGCTTTTAAGTGGTTCCTCTATCCCACAGGAATTTATGAAGGACCAACTACATGGCCAGAATAAATGGGAGCTAAAATGTTTAAAAGGGATCTTTCCTCCTCTTCAGAAGCTTAACACAGGGCTTAGAGGATTCTTGGTGCTACAAACTCCTTAGTTTGGTACAACATAATCGTTTTATCCGGGACATGGTAAGATTCTGTTAAAATAAAATCTAGAGTTTTCAATAATTAGTACAGCTTGCAGTCACCAGAGGCTCTGGACTCGGGCACACTGAAGGACGACTCCCAGCCAAATGTTCTTCATGTGCAGCAATGATATTCCTGGTGCCAGGGGCACCTAAAGGTAAGATTTCAGCTGACGAGCAATCCATTTTTATTTGTAATATAACGGAATAAAACCAGATTTGTTAAATTATTTGTTTGTTTGTGTGTTTGTTTATTGAGAGACAGGGAGAGAGAGCAAGCCAGGGGGGTTCAGAGAGAGAGGGAGAGAGAATCCCAAGCAGGCTCCGTGCTGTCAGCACAGAGCCTGACACGGGGCTCGAACCCACCAACCATGAGATCATGACCTGAGCCAAAATCAAGAGTCGGGACGTTTACCCAACTGAGCCACCCAGGTGCCCCAAGAACAGAATTTTTTAAAGTTGGCTTTAGTTTTATATTGCACTGCCTTCCTCTTTTTTTTTTTTTTAAGTTACTAGTCATGGCACTAAGTAGATGACTTGAGGGAAAAAAATCCTTCCTTTACTTCTAATATTTCACCACTGAAATACTTTAAAGGAATTTATTTCAGGGACTCAAATAAACAACTACCTTTAAAAAAATAAAATAGGGCATATACTAGGGAAGGGCACACAAGAAAAGGGGGGGGACTTTTTTTAAAAAGATAATTTAGCAAAGATAAAAGCATTTAAACACACTTCACTCTGATCCAGCCTCTGAGTCATATTAATGTCTGGTGCGAGAAAAGAGCCCAACTGATAAAGAGAAGCTTATTTAACTGAATGGACTTCTCATACGAGCAAACTGACCCCTTTCATGTGCTGAAATGTCATGAGGATTGGATCAGACGGCATTTGACGTGTTACAAACACACGGTGCTATGTGAGATTTCAAGAAGCTTTCGCATACATTCACATACATTTACCATGAACCAACGGTAAATCCATTTTAAAGATGAAGCCACTGCAGAAGGTCAAACCGAAAAGTGACAAAGCCAGGATACAAACCTGGATCTTCTGCCTCCCGGGTCAGAACACTTGCCAGTACAGCCAAATTTTGAAAAATATTTTTATTGGCTCTAGCGTTGCTCAGTGTAGTCATTGGACACACCAGGAAGAGGAGGAGGTGGGAAAGAGGGAGGAAGTGGGAGAGAGGAGAGCTTTTGAATTTTCCAAACAGTCCAGGCTTTGCAGTGATTACACTGTCCTCGTTCTTATCACAATGGATGGAGTTGCTTGCCCCTGTGTAAACTGTGGCTGCCAACCCAGCATATGACCTTAAGTGCCAGCCACGGGTGCAGGCTGTTCTTTGGTTAGTTAGCCCTGAGTGACTGTTTTAGCAGTTTTGCTTTATGGGAAAAGTTGTGTATCTTTCCTCTGAAACAGCCGCTTGAGTTCTGATTAACAAATCCTGCCATTTACCATCAGCCTCAAGGCAAATTTTGCTAACTTACCGGTTTGATACACTTCTTGGGGCTTTGCTTGGAAAATTCCCCCCCAAGATGTCCTTTGGCCCACATCCCAGCAGTTGTCCAGTTGGGCTATTAACTCTTATTTTTATCAAAAGAGTCAAAACTCAACGCAAGAATGGAAACGTGTTAGCCAAGCTCATGGCTGACAACCACAGGTGGGGGTAAATACTACCAATCACTCCTGGGCAGACCTTTAATTCAATCTAGAACTTGAAATGAGATTCCAGTCATCAGCTATCCTCACAGAGCAGAAATGCCTGTATATATGGTATCACAAATGAAAGCTGAGGAAAAAGGTCATTCACCTGAAATATTTATGAAGATTAGGTCGTGCTTTTCATCGATGCGGACTTATGTGACCCCTTTCGAAAACCCATGACGTGTGTCCCACTTTATTCATTACTGAGTATGATATAGATTTATTTTTATTTATTTTTTTTTAATTTTTTTTTTCAACGTTTATTTATTTTTGGGACAGAGAGAGACAGAGCATGAACGGGGGAGGGGCAGAGAGAGAGGGAGACACAGAATCGGAAACAGGCTCCAGGCTCTGAGCCATCAGCCCAGAGCCTGACGTGGGGCTCAAACTCACGGACCGCGAGATCGTGACCTGGCTGAAGTCGGATGCTTAACCGACTGCGCCACCCAGGCGCCCCTGATATAGATTTATTTATCTCCTAAGCCTACCTTGAATTTTATAGTTTGTAATGCTTACATGAAAAAGTGGACTGGACTATAGGAATATGAATTTTTACTGTAAATTCTAAGCATGAGGGAAGACCGTAACTCCAAAAACACTCAATTATGTCTCCATACTAGTAAAAATGAGATTTTAATTAATTAAGCATTAACTATTTATGACTCAAAGCTTAATGGGAATTAAGTAAATATGAATGAACATGGGAAATATAAAAACTATGGGACAGTTCTGGCTCTAGAGCTTACAATCCATATGAGAAGAGAAAAGAAAAACAGATGAAAATTAGGAAAACAATATGAGGTGTCAAAAGGCGATATATTGTTAATTGCCTTGTGAAATGCAATTAGCAAAGTAATTACTGTAGGTGGAGGAAGGAGGGATCATTTCCAGAAATAGTGGGCAGGGATGACTGTAAAATAAATAAATAAAAAACATACCAGCCAAATCTTGAATACTGAATCCATTGAAATGGACATGAAGGAGGAGATTCTTAGTGGAAAGAACCCCATAAGAATGAGAAAGACCACAGATGCAAAAAAGAAAAAAGAAAAAAAAAAAAAAAAAAGACGAAGAGTACAGATCCAAAAAGGAAAAAGAACACAGAACTGCAAGTCAGGGTGACAGGGACAAGATAATTCTAGAAAGGCCATTTGGAACTGGACTTTTAAATGCCAAGTTGAGGAGTTAAGGTTTCTGAACACAAAAGCATCTTGCTTCAAAGCAGCATTTTAGAAATATTAACTTAGCTATGGTATCCCAGATTAAATGGAGCAGGGAGATACAGAGACTGGGAGATCAAAGGGAAACCGTGGCACATTCAGATATGGAACGATGCGAGAGGGATGCCACAGAGGTGGGAGTAGGAAATGGGAGGGGGAAGAAGCCTACTACCTCTCCACGTGCTTATCAGCATTTATCTTTGGAGCTTTCTGTTGTTTTGTAAACTACAGTCCAATCAGTGGGTTCCTAAGAACTGATTCCTTTCTGCAATCTCCAGGAGGGAATGGGGACGTGGCGGAGTTTCATTTTGAACTTGCAACATGTGATACCTGTATAAGGGGATATGTTGTACCTTTTCTTCTTAATCTATATCCTCCTCTAAGGGCAAAAAGAAAGTTAGCTCAAAAAGGTCCCCCCAAAAGCGTCATGGAATGTAGGATTTAAAGGAGATCTGAGAACATGTTATTTAAAAGAAAGCTAACTCCGGGGTGCCTGGGTGGGTCAGTCAGTTGAGCGGCAGACTTCAGCTCAGGTCATGGTCCCACAGATCATGGGTTTGATCCCTGCGTTGGGCTCTGTGCTGATAGCTCAGAGCCTGGAGCCTGCTTCGGTTTCTGAGTCTCCCTCTCTCTCTGCCCCTCTCCCAATCATATCCAGTCCTTCTCCATCAAAAATAAGCAAACATTAAAATAAAAAAAAAAATTTAAACTTAAAAAAAAAAAAGAAAGCCAACTCTAGTTGAGCACAGACTATTTCAAACTTTTCCATAAGTATAACTGAAAGAAAGCCTCAAAATGCCAGGGACCCCTTTACGCCTGCAGCTCTATGTTGGAACTCCTATTAAAATAACCTTCTGGTTTTGGGGCACCTGGGTGGCTCAGTCGGTTGAGCGTCGGACCTCAGCTCAGGTCATGATCACACGGTCCGTGAGTTCGAGCCCTGCGTCAGGCTCCGTGCTGACAGCTCAGAGCCTGGAGCCCACTTTGGATTCTGTGTCTCCCTCTCTCTCTGACCCTTCCCCGTTCATGCTCTGTCTCTCTCTCTGTCTCAAAAATAAATAAACATTAAAAAAAAAATTTTTTTTTAGATAAACTTCTGGTTTTGAATATTTGTGATTTAATGTATTTATTATCCAGAAATTTGGGGAAATTTGACATATCTCTGATTTAACAGGAAAAAAAAGTTTCAGGAGAGTTTTGTGGCAAGTCAAATCTCACGCTCAAATACATGGTATGTTTACACGTGTACGTACATACGCAAATACAGGTATCTATCCATAATATCTATGCATGCAAATACATAGATATTTACACCTATGGTAACGTTACTGGCATCCAGGCCTCTGTACTGAACCTCTCCAACCATGTTCTGGCTTTATCGCTCACAGAAATGCAATCCCCTGGCCCATCATGGGCACTTAAGCTTGGCACACAGTATTCCAGTAACACCTCTTGACAGAAGATGGAGCAGGATAGAAGGCCTCCTCCCACATTCCCTACACCTCACTCCATGGCCGGGCACTCAGAACCCCTTTCCTGGGCTGCGTCAGATTCAACTCTTTCCCACCCCTCGGCTATTTTGAGGCTGTCTTTCGAGGGAGGAGGGAACAGAAGGAAGCCTGAAGGGGAGACAAGTTTGCAGTGACAGGTAACTAAGGCTCTCGTGAGCTTACTCTGAACTCAGGGTGCCGGCCCTGTCCCTCCCCTCTTTCTAGCCCTCCTCCTTTCCTTGTTCCCCCTCCTCAACCTTCCCAACTTGGCAGAACTAGGCTGCCAAGTCCTGGCGCAAAAGGGTGAATAAACAAATCACCCACACCCACCCGCCCTGAAACACTGACTGACTATCCAGTTTGGGCCTAAAGCAAATTTACGTTTGGATTTAAGTTAAGAGAAGGTAGTTAAAACTGCTTGACTTTATAAACTGAATCAGCATTGCTTTTAAGCTCCCGACTGGGGTTGCTGTGAAATTCAGTCTCTCTCTGCAAGGTAAGAATTTGAGTTTGGTCCAGATGTTGGGGTTCCTTCCAGACTGTATTCTTTTTCTTCCAGTGCTAGGAAGATACCCAGTGTGAGCATTGTATAACGTTTCCAGGCACCCTTACATGGGTATTTAGAAGCTGTTTACTTCTCAAGGATTCCATTAAAGGCTTTTTTATTTTCAAGGCTGAGCTGAGGACGTCACCATGGCCAGAACAGAGAGGGGGCCTGCAGTCCCACTGTTACACTGTGTTCATGGTGGCTGTTCCCTACATAGAATCCACCCACAGCTGGGCTAACAACTCACCAATTTCAAACTGATTCATTGGCCGACTGGAAAACCAGGGATAGAACTTTCAACGCTCTAGGATATTAACCCTCCTGAGTATGTACATATTTTCTCCTCTCATCCCTCCAAAACTAATCCTAGAGTTTTGAGAATCTGGGAACTTGGGCAAAGGAGAAAACAGGCAAGCCGAGCGCGAGGAATCTGAAATGTCAGCTCATGACGTCAACCAAAACGAACAGCACCTTTTTGTTTGCAGTGACCCAGCTCAAAATATAAAACCACGTGAGTAATAAAACACAAAATATAGGTGTTATCACTGAACGTGGAGAGTCTGAAATGCAATCAAATGTGTTCCTTGTTCTTGGCGGTGTCATTTTCTCTACGTTCACACTTGTGTTTCCCTGAGCCTCTCTTTTTAATATCGACACACACCGTGGCGTCATACTCACGTAGTAATTAGCTGGGGCTGAGGAGCCTGTGATTTTTCCAACTGGTCCTCAGCGTTAGCTGTTCAGATGCACAAACCTTCGCTTGCCTTCTGCGTCTACTGCACTGGAACAGAAGCTCCTTGCAGGAAGAGCGCACAGAGAGCGTTCTTGACAGATGCCAGGTTTGCTCCGGCAAGGCGCTCTGCTGGAAAGTTTTCCTCTAACCACTGACACCCGCCTCCGGTCCCCCGAGCTGGCAGGACGCAGGCTGGCTGGGTCCCCTCTTGACGGGGGAAGGGTTTTACAACACACTCTGCAAGGCTGCCGGATCCGAGAAACAACCCGGCAGCCGAACTCCTCCAACCCCAGCGGACAGACTGTCCGAGGCGCTCCGGCGCTGGGAGAACGCCGAGGTCCCCTCCCCGCTAAGGCGAACACGCGCTCGGCTCGGCAGGGAACCTGGGCACTGGAGGTGGAGAGGATGCCGGTGGAGCGGGGGCGCAAGGAGGGAGCCAAACGCCAGAGGCAGAAAGGGCGCGGGAGGGGGCGGACTGCGGGAGAGAGTGGGAGCTTCGGGGAGCGGCGGGGACGGGGGTGGGAGCCGGGCGCAGTGGTGGGGTAGAAGGGCACGGGGCCCCGGAACCCGCGAGCGCGGGAAGGGCGCGCCCGCAGGAACCGGCGGGGGCGGGGGCGGCGCTCGTGCGGCGATCTGCCCCCGGACTCCCCCGAGCAGCAGAACGGCCGGTGGGAGGGGGGTGCGGGAGGTGGGAGGGTGCGGGGGGTGGGGCGGGGGGAACAAGATAGGGGCGTGCCTTTGCCCGGATTGGCTGCAGGAGCCTGACGCGAGGTCCCGGGGGTTGGCTTGGGGGAGTGGGAGCGGGGTGGGGTGGGTGCTGGGTGCCGGGGCTGCGGGCTCAGCACGCTCAGAAACATGCTGAGGTCCCGGCGGCTGTTCCAGCAGCGGCAGCGGCTCCAGCAGCAGCGGCGGCGGCGGCGGCGGCGACAGCGCACGGCTCCGGCGGGGAAGGCGCCCGGCGCCCATGCCTCCGGCCCCGCGCAGCGGCTGCCCTGACCTGGCCGCGACCTCCC